TCAAGGCTAGCCGGGGTCAAACAAACAAACAAAAAACAAACAAACAAGCTAGCTGGCTAGGTTAGGTGAGCCCAGAGCGCACAGCCGGGGCGAGAACTGCTACTTTGCATAGTGCCTGCTTCCTTGGAAGAGGAAGCAGAGACCAGACTGCCCCCATTAACCTCTTGGCACAGGGTCACCCCACGGCAGGTGTTTTGGGAGTGGTCCCTCTTCAGCTGAACCAGGCTAAGCACACGCTCTCCAGCCCAGATTTATGGCCTTGGACAAACAACAGAACCTTGCCCCTGGCACGGCCCCACGCTCCCCAGCGCTAATTGAGGCCTAAATAACTCCCATCAGTTTGTGCGTAAAATAAACCGGCCTCAATTTAAGACAACTTCCCCACTGAGGAACCGCAGCCTGCAGGTTTGTGCAGACATATGCTTACTAGTTTCTTCTTTAATGAGATGTTTCTGTCTAGTCATCCTGACAATGTGTTTTAACTAGATTTTGAATCACACTTATGACTGATAATAAGATAGCAACACGTACCCCATTCAGCCACTAATCGAAGCGATTATCACCAGAGTCTTTCAATTTAATTATTGCTTCTTAGCGGCATTCATTTCATTAAAATGTTGGCAGGTAGGGGTGGGGATGGTGCGCGCAGCCTCGTGAAGGATGGGAGCTGAATGGCAAGATCACGTACACAGAAAGGCAGAGATGAACTGACTTTATTAGAGTGAGTGAAATACCCACAACACATTGCTTCCTATTCCCCGTCTCCTCTTCATGCTCCACAGTCCACCCTGGGCAGAACAAGGACAAGCCTGAACAAGGCATCGGCTTCCAGCTTTGGGTTTGAAACCCTAGCTGGATAGAGACATCATGCCATCGTTTATCCTTAGAGAAATACACACTTGCAATTTGCAAGCATTTGGGAGCAAGAGTGGCATCCTAGGCCTTCTTTTTTTTCCTTCCAGGGTCAACATTAAACTGCTGCTGGCTATGTAAATTACAGGAGGGTACATAGGCAAAGTGGGGCAACAAAGTAGAGCTGGGGCGCTCTGCACCAGTGGGCCCGGAGTCACGCATGGATTGCTGAGAGCAGAGTCAGGCAGAGGCTAGGGTAGGAAGTCCGAAGATTACAGGGGCTTGTCAATCTGGGAGGCTCAAGAGAGCCTCTCTGCCATCTACACGTGGAGAGCTGATGTGAATTAACTCACATGGAATGGAGCTCAGAGCAAAAGAGCTCTTTTGCTCTTTTAAGAAAGAAAACTTTTTTGTTTGTTTTTTGAAGACAGGGTTTCTCCGTGCAGCCCTGGCTGGCCTTGAACTCGGGTGAATCTACTGCCTCTGTCTGCCAAGTGCTGGGATTAAAGGCGGGCACGACCACCTGGCTGGAAAGACCATTAAAAAAAGTTTATTATTATTATTTTGTATTTTTCCTGCATGTATGTCTGTGTACCCTGTGCATGCCCGGTGCCTTTGAAGGACAGCAGAGTGAGGGTGTCAGATCTCCTGGAGCTGGAGTGAGGCCAGTAACAGCCAGTGACTGAATGTGTGTGCTGGGAAATGAACTCGGTAAGGGCAGCATCACTCTTCACCCCCGAACACTGAGGTGGGAAAGGCCGTGCAGCCACTGAAAGCCGCATGTGAGAGCTGGGGAGAGGATGGCTGCACGCTGCTCTGCAGGACCCGAGTTTGGATCCCTGGCAGTTGCAAGAAAAGCTGGGCACGGTACCTTCCACTTGCCTGCAATCTCAGAGCGAGAGAGGCCGAGATGGGCCAATCCCTGAGTCTGCCTAGCAGTGAGCTCCAGGTTCAGTGAGAGATGTGCTTCCAAAAAGTAAGGTGGGGAATGATTGAGAATTACAGTATCAGCCTCCTGCCTCTATACACACACACACACACACACGCACACGCACACGTGTAAAATCAAGTTGGGAAGGGTATGGCATGCCTTGTTAAAAATAGCACACCCGTATGATTCATTTTGGGAGGAACTGGTTAAAAACCAAATCACAGTAATGTATAATGTGAGCCAAAGGGATATGGGTATTCATCTCTGAATCATGGCTTTCCTTTCGTTTTTGGAGCTTTTTTTTTTTTTTTTCATTGCATGTTTTAAGTTTTTAAAAAACTGTATATTAATTTTCCGATCAGGAAAGGTCATCATTTGCCAAGATTAGCATGCAGCCTTTGTGACACTGTTTCTAGACATTGCAGTTTTGAGAAAGCTGGCCAGCAAAGGGCACCCATTTCAGGCTGGGGGGGGGGGCACGGCGCCTCTCCATTTTCTTTGTGTGACTATGAGGGGGGGATACTCACTATGGAGTTCCTGAACCTGGTGGGAGGAGAGCACCCCAGCCGGTGATATTAGTCTCTCTGCAAAGTTCCGGAAACTCTGGTACAGCCATGTGGCTGGAACCACCACTGGGAAGATCAACCGAGTACTCGGATTGTTTTTCCTAGAAAGGTCAAGGTTTATGGGTCATGGGACCACTGCATCTGCGGCTGAGAAGCATCCTATGTACTGGATGAGTGTGGCTGGGAGCCGGCAAATCTTTATTAAGAAAGTAGTCTGGGGTGGGGAGATGGCTTAGTGGCCAAAGCACCTAGCATGCCTGAGGCCCAGAGTTCTGGTCTCTAGGACTCACATAAATGCTACGTGGACAAGGCAGCCTGTCTGTAACTCCAGTCCTTAGAAGACACAAGAGTCCCAGAACAAGGGGCTGGCCAGGCTAGCCGTATCGGGCAGTTCTGGGTTCAACTGAGAGACGCTGCCTCAATGAATAGGGTGGAGAGTGATCCAGGAAAATGACTGACATCAACCCCAGGCCTCCAAACACATCACCACTCCTGCACACGTCTCCTTAGGCACTTGGGCACCCGTCCATGAATATACATACCCACATATAGCTATGAATGGAAAACCGAACCAAACCATACCAGAGCAGTTTGCCGTCACCCGAAGAGCTCCCGCCTTCCTGCTAATTAATAGTCAAGAAACAGGAGAGAGCAGAGAGCAGCCAGGTTGTCCCTGTTCTGCTCCCACGACCAGAGGCAACCCCTCACACCGGGAGGTCTTCTATTGTGCTCAGGGTTTTGTCTGTTAGAAACGCTGATTATGGTTTCCTAGATAATCAGTCAGTATCTGAAAGTAGGGAAATGAGTCTGTTTTTTTGTTTTGTTGGCTTCAAACCTGAGATCCTCTTCCCTTGGCCCCTCCCCACCAAGGGCTAGGATTACAGGTATGTGACACCATGCCCAGTATTCCTGCATTTTTAATGCCTTCCAAATGACTCCTGTGGTGATATGTAAACAGAAGGTATTTAATACTCCCTTGCTGAATAATGAATGAATGAATGAATGAGTGAGTGAATGAATGAATGAGTGAGTGAATGTCTTCTTTAGGTGAACTATAGTAAAACACAGTTTTGAGTGTCATCTCCTGGGAACCACTGAAACTCCATCCAGGCAAAGTCGAGTCACTCCTAAATTAGATAACTTGTATTCCCCGTCCTCCAGAGAATGGCCTGAACAAGGTGGCCTAGGAAGAGTCAGGACAGCAGGTCACACAGGAATTGCCCAGCAGCCCTGGTCTCTCTAGTCTCTGCCAGTCACTCTTTATCCTTGCAAGATAGCTAGTGTCTGCCCCACAAATACAGCCATGCAGCCATACTCTCTAAGGAGTTTGGTCCCGCTCAGGGCAAGAAGATTTAAAATGTTTCTAGGTGTCAACACACACACAATTACTAAGTAGGGCTGGCCGACTGTCCTTTTTACAGACTCCTTCCTAGACCTTCTCCCTGCCAGTTTTCAGGTCATTGGTGTTCATGAGTCTTTAGGACTTGCCTGGTGGCACGTTGGGGCCTCCGTCACCCCTGCTTCCTGTTTTGCATTCATTCTCTTGGCTCAGTCAAAGGAGTCAGCATGCCCTGTCACCCTCTGTCACCCACATGTCAGTCTTTATTCTCCATAAACACAAACTGTGTCAAGAGGTGGAAATTTCCTATAGATTCTAGATTCCTTTTTCAGACTCTGATGGAACCCACAGACCCATTATTGGTGAGCCCCTTGGTTCCACCAAAACATTCCTTCCCAAGAGAAAGAAACTAAAAAAAAAAAAAAAAAAAAAAAGAATAATCACATGACCGCCTTTGGAAGAATCTGCCAGATGGATTTTGGACTTTTAAAAACATCTGTGTGTGTGTGTATGTCTGCATGTCTCTCTTCTGTATGCATGTGTGTGTCTGTGCACATGAGTACAGGTGCCTGTGGAAGCCAGAAGAGGGCGACAGATTCCCTGAATTGAGTTACAGGCATCTGAGATGTCTAATATGGGTGTTGGGAATTGAACTTAGGTCCTCTGCAAGAGCAATATGTGTTCCTAACCACTGAGCCATGTCTGCAGGCTCCAGAGGATGGATTTTTAAGCAACACTAATAAAGTATTTGGCTAAATTTTTCAAAAGTCAGCATGGTCACCCTGATTGCCATGCTACACTTGAGCACACATGCACATGAATATAAAATATAGTCTACATATATTTTAGTATGAACATGTACCTGGTTATGTTCATTTCTGCAAGTGCTTTTTGTTTGTTTTTATGAGGCAAGATCTCATGTGACCAGAAAGACCCTGAATCTGTGATCCTCTGAAACTCCACCCCTCAAGTGCTGGGATTCCGGACACGTACTACCACACTGCACTCTGAGCAAATTTCAGTTCCCGTTGAGAAGTGTTAATACAACAGTCAGAAATGGAATCCAGGAGATCTGCTTTCCCATGGTGCTCTTCTCTCACGGCAACCACTTACATTACAGGTGTGTCCAAAGAAGGACACACAAGTTAGAAGACAGGAAAGCTAGATTATTAGGTATTCCACACCTTATCCCAGAGGTCCAAGGTCAGAGCCTCTGAGGTCCCAGGCATGGACCAGGGCTGGGAGAAGTGACCTTCAGAGGCCAAGAACTGAGTGAGGCGCAGAGTGTGAGGACTGTCAGAGGGCTACTCACGCTGTCGTTGCTTCCTTTGTTGTCTTCGTACTTGGTTTCTATATGGATGGAGAATTTCGGCAGAAAGGAACACTGTGGAAAGAAAGCAGACTTTGATTAGCGCCACAGTTTGCTCATGTGACGTCTTTACTGCGGCATGGGGCTGCTGGCATGACCATTAGGTTGGGAGCACAGATCTACAGCAGAAATGGTATCCATCAATAAGATACATATCAATAACTATGTTCCGTAGAAGAGGCCACCACGGTGAACACCATTTCTTCCTGAAGCGACACCAGAGGCCGTGAGCAGTGTTGGAGAGGTGAGCGGCCCAGGGCATTTCCAAAGGGAATATGTGCGGGTAATCCTGACACCGCCATGGTCACAGAGGCCATCTCCAGGTCTCGGGTACTCACCTGTTCACTAGGGGGCCACTGCAATCTCTATGTGAAGGCACATATAAGATCAGTGGAGTGGCACAGCACAACCTTGAGAGCAGAGATTATTGGCCAGATAGGTGTGTGTGTCTGTGGCATGTATGTGTACATGCATGTAAGCGTATAAATGCTCTCTGTTAGGTGTTTTCCTCATCACTCTCCACCTTTAGGTGGGGGAAGGCAGGATGAGACAGGGTCTCTCTATGTGGTCCTGACTGTTCTGGAACTCGCTATGTAGACCAGGCTGGCCTCCAACTCACAGAGATCCACCTGCCTCTCCAGTGTTGGGATTAAAGGTGTGTGCCACCAAGCCTGGCCTTGCTTTTTTTTTTAAGTTAAAAAAAAAAAAAAAAATATATATATATATATATATATATATA